CATTTAATTATTTATTATAAGAATTTGTTATTAATACGTTTATTTATTATTATTATCTATTTAATTGTTTTTTATAAACAATTAGATACAAAACATTGATGATATTGCACAACGTGACATTATTTACTATCAGTATTCTTGTGCTTTGTGCCAAGCACAATATTTTTTCTGTAAAAAAAGGAATCGCTGATTTATTTCCCCGTAGAATGAACCTCTGTCTCTCCTTTAAATATGCCAGAAATATCAAATAATATCACAGCATAATTATGTTGAACAGAGACAGAAAATCAGACATTTTATGTTTTAACAAAAAAAATGCTTTAAATTTTCCATTACCATTAAAGTTTTATGGCAATGAATAGACATGTAAATATTCTGATAAACAAAAGCCAAACATTTAAAAATAAAAATAATTTTTATTTGTGGAATAAAAGAATAATGTGACAGTATTCTGTTAATTTGATCAGTTGTGTAGTACATGATGGCAGCTCAGGCCTCTGATGTCAGCAGTGACGTAGCGCACTGTATGCTAAACACAGTTGGCCTTTTACTCCGCTGACGGGCTCTTGCTGTGTTTCAGGGCTGAGTAGAAGCAGATGCCGTGGGACCATGATGGACTTGCGTCACCCCCGCTATGCTGGGACCTCCATGCATGGAAACACTTATCACACACACACACACACACACACACACACACGCACGCCTCTGGACTCAGAACACTCTTTGTAGGACAGTTTTGGCCTTTGATGTTGTACTGTAACAATTGTGGCCTAAGGATGTCATTGCTGTTCTGAATTTTGTGTTTTCTTCTTTTCTGTTTTTCCACACTACTCTTTTAATTTCCGTTAATTTTCCTGGCTTCATAAACCTGTGATTCTGTTATAAGAAAATACAGTGGATTTAATTAGCAGCAAGGAAATATTTATGGAGGAGCTTTGGCTTTAGAAGACGCAATTTTAATGTTGGTTTTTACTTTCATGCCTTCGTAATGTGCAATTCCTTGGGTACTGAATGATGTACAAGAATTCAATCTTGTGTAGAGATAGACATGCATTTTGTTCTCTGCATTCGCATTGGAGTGACCTTATGTACTTTGAGAAGAGCTGTAATAAATGAGCTGCCAGTGTTGAACGGAAGAGGCTCATTGACATTTTCTCCATTGGCAGAGAAACGCACATCGGTGATGTTGTTTTTACGATTGTTATTTTTGTACTTGTGTAAATCATAATTATGTACTCTTTTATTTCTTTCAATGAAATAAATCCCATAGCGCTGTTGGCAGCCAATTTGCTGACAATAGTCAGATTCTTGTATTAGCAGCAGGAAACAAGGTTTTCACTTACTGTATCTGTGGAAGTAGCCCATGTTAGAAGTAATATGTATGGCTCCCTCTAGTGGTTACTTTGATACACTGCACACATGCTCTTCCCTTCTTTCATTTATATTGTTACAATACTGTACTGTACAATACTGTTTAAAATGTTTGTGAAGTCTCGACTGCTCAACCAGGCTGCATTTATGTGATCAAAAATACAGTGATATTGTGAAATATGATAGTTTAAAATAGTGATGGGACGGTTAATGCCGGGGCTCTGATGCTCCGACTCAGTTTTCAAAGCATTATTGTATCACACAATACCCATGCTTGTATCAAAATGACAATACCACGTGATTGATGACGTTTGAAGCTTCGAACGTCATGCAGTATCGATTCGCAAGGTCGGAACAGCCATAGATAGCCATAATGATATCTTTGGGAACAGCTGCTTTAAAAAAAAAAAAAAAAAATGGCGCTTCGTAAAAAGGGAAATGATTTTCGAGGAGGCATTACTTATTTAAACGATTTAAATATAACATAAATAGTATATATATATATATATTTGTTCTATTACTAATGATGATCACATACTTGTATATGTTATATTATTAATCAATATGTGAATCCGTTGACCAGGCTGCACATTACACTAGTTGTGGTCTCGACACAAATTAATTTAGATCAGAGATAGAACTGTAACCCAGATTGATTCCACTCCTCCAGTAAGCTCTTTCTTTCTAAACTTTGCTTGGTCACGTGATTCCTTACGAATCTGATTACGTCATCCAGATTATGTAATCAGTTACTGTTTGAACTTCCAATACAAGCAATTCACAATTTAAAAGCGACAGTTTTTCTGCATATGAAAATGTTTTAATTGGAAGGAAAAACTTTTTGTCATTATACATGTACATTCAAGATTAATGATACATCTGTTACAATACATACTTCATTCTGATGTTGGCATCCAAACAAAAATTTATATTTTTTAAACGATTAGAAACCAGTGCACAATGTTGATAAGGGACATAACAGTAAACGAGTAACAAAGGTTTCCCACATTCAAATTGTACAGCTCTCCAGGCTAGCACAGTCTCTAAACTGAAGTAAAAAATAGAGTCTGAAATACAGCTGACAGTATAGTGTCCTCATAGAAATCCAGGGCTTTTTCTTTATTTACAGTGCAATAATACACATGGAAAGGAGGATAATAAACTGTTTCACAGTAGAAAAAAAAAATGATTTGCCTTTTATGCACCTATCAACAGTCTTTGAGTTTAACATTGCACATGGGTATGACAAAGATGATGATGTTTTAGAGACTTTGGTACATGAGCTCCTGTCAGAAGTAAACCTTTTATAAGGGCTGAAACATCCCTCGCATTCAACCGGAAACAAAATAAAGGAATTGGCAAGTTGTGAGGCAGTGACCAATAGTCCCATCATAAGAACTCTTCTCCCATAATCTCTGTCAGCTGTTATAAAAGTACTGTTGCTTTGGACTGGGACTGATTTAGGCTGTTCAGAATAGCATTTTACCATACTACTACTTCTGCAGTATAAAGTATGCATACTATGCACAATGTGTGAATTTTCCATGTGCATGAAATACCCTGATGACCAAATGTGCAGTATATTTAACCATCCATTTCCAATATGATATGATTAATTTGATCAGCATGCCCAAAGTGGATTTTTTTAACTATAAATAACTATTTCCAAAATACACTGCACATATACTATTCATGAACAAATAGTATTACTGTATGAAGTATTAGTCAGCTAGTAATCCATTTTGAACAGCCTTAAGCATCAAATACTTGGAAAAAAAGACAGTATGGAAGTGAATTATACTTAAAAATGTGCAACCAGTATGCAATGTGTCTAACAAGAGCAATGAGACAAGTTTGATGAAATACAGCCATAATGTGCTGAAAGCAGGTCAAATTTAGTGACATTTGTCATTTAAATAAACATTTTTGAAATGCGTTACAGTCTGAACAGTCAGATCAGATTTATTCAAGTAGTTGTTTTTCATGATTCGGGACATGGTACGAGTTCATCACTTGCAAGTGTGAATAATCAGTCATAAAGATTGGATATGAAAATAGGGACAGGATTTATGTTAACTTCCGTTTAATAGTTTGGGGTTGGTAAGATGTTTGTATTTGTAATTGTTAGAATTTCCAAGGATCAGCATTCTCCCCTAAAAGTGATCGGGCAGACCAAACTGTAAGTCGTAGAGACTTGAAAATGTGAGGGATGGTAGTACCCTCCCTGTCTACAACGTCACCAAGGCTCGCCCCAATCGACCTGATGGTGGCGCTACAGCGATAAAAAATACGTAATAGCTCATAATAACTTCTAAACCATTCATCGCAGGCTCAAGTGTCAATGGAATCCTTGGCTTGGAATCCACATCTCGGATTCGGAGTCACCCGTCATGGAAAAATATTCGGGTATTTAGGTTTTTCCAAAAAAACTACTTTTGCGAACCAGTCCTTTGTTTTTCGCCCAATCGGAACCAAACCAGTGCAGAAAGATTCTCTCGCAGAAAGAGAATGTCAATAGTTAAAAAACAACATTTTTTGACTGGACACCAACATGTTCGAAGTGGGTGTTGCCACTTTTACTAAACCTCTCTTAAACGGAATGAGATAATTTCACCAAACTCGTTACACCTATGTATGGGCTTGGTCTGTGGTCACGTGAAAAAGGACGCGGCGACTGGCCACTTGGTGGTGCTATAAAATGAAAAAAAAAAAAACATGAAAACAGCAAGCATTAGCTACACAACAGTCAGTCCGATTGACTTGAAAACTGGTACTGCGATTGAGGACATTCGCGTATCTCTATCTTGTTATTATCATCAATGTTAAAAAAATTGTGCTTTTGATGAATAGAACAGAATTTATTTGAAATTTTGTAACATTGTAAATACATTTACTGTCACTTTTGACCAATTGAATGTGTCCTTGCTGAATAAAAGTACTAATTTCTTGATAAAAAAAAATCTTACTGACCCCAAACTTTTAAAAAGTAGTGTACATTATGTGCAGAGTGAACAAAGCATGTGGGCAGTAGATAAAGACAACCAGCATCTAAAATGGGACACACTAAAGACTGATTAGTCTCGTCACACTCTTTCCATCATGCGGAAGCAGTTTGCTGACCCGTGGAAGAGTCTGGACCCTTTCCAGACTTTAGGACACTAAGGGAAGTGTAGTGAGCACCTCAGCCCCTTCACTTCCTGTCATAAAGGAGCATCACAGGTGTCACAGAGCGACAGATTCAAAGTGCAAAAGTATGGACACAGGTGGTGAAACGTGTTACAAAGGCAATGTCAACTACTTTTATTCCGAGATCATCGTCATCATCACCATCAACGAATCGTACAAAAGAAAAGGGGCAATTAAGACGCTAAACAATAAATACTAATACAAGGTTATTGGCACAGTCCTTTTGGTCACACACTGTTTGGACGACTTCTTCGTGGCTTAGTTATTAAGGGAGCTAACGCAGTTTCGTTTGAAGATTAAAAACTGTGCTCAGCTAAACTGTCCAACGGCATGTTTTATTCGAGGCAGACAATATCGTTGTCTCCATTAAGAGAGGAATAATAACATTTGTCGGCCGTTAGGGAAGGGAAACGGTTGTGACCCCTGTACGAGGCTTCGCAGATCGAAAAGGACCTGATTGGTGCGGTGTGTGCTGGAGGTGTTTACAGCAAGAAATGGAAAAGAAAAAACCTCAGTCACAGTGTGCTCAAACACCACGAGCATGCAGACAACGCCAGGGTCTGACACAACGGCATTCTGTGGCAGGCAAACGATACAAAGAGTCAAGACGTCGAGGCAGATCCCGGGCAGTCACAAGCCTTGGGCTGTCGGGAAGGAGATTTGGCGAGGTGGGCAGCAGCCTACTCTTGTTCTCACTTGTTCTCGATAAGGGTCTGCACCTTGTGTACCAGCTCCCGCGCTATTCGGAGGATGTGCTGCACGTCGTGGCGCTCGGCCATCTCTGTTAGAGAGGAACACAAAGAATACAGTGATTCAAAAGAGTGACATTTTCACATTGCTTATATCACATTTCACTCTGTTGTGCCATCATATTTTAAAGCTGAATTGTGTCTCTTTTTTGATGTTATACTCTTTATTTTATCTTTTATGTTAAAGGTACACTATTTCAAAAAGAAAATTCATTCAAAATTGACAAAACTTATGTTTTTAACACAAACCGTGTGTTACATAGTGTACCTTTAAGTACTTAAGTACACTACTTTAATCTTCAATTTTATTTTATTTTTTTTCATAATTTTCACTGACCCCCTAGCTCTTTAATTGTAAGGTACATCAAAGTTAAGGTGATAATGTAAGTTTTCTTTTTGTAATACGTTTAATGCAATCTTAACATTATTTGATAATATTGCCATTTAATCACACTTTCTAAAGACTAAAGTTGGAAATCATTTAGTGTGAAGTGCTATAAAATACATTTGTTTCTTTTCAGGCTTATGTATTCAATAAATATTATATCAATAGTGAGTATGAAAAACATTTTGTTGATCTATTATCTTTAGTATAATGACAATATTAAATGCAATTATTTAATTTAGGAAACTACATTTATGATATCAAACATCATATACCTTTTTAATGTAGCCTAGCTGCCTTTTATTATTGGAAGAGGATCATATCATATTTGGGGGTACTTGGCATTAAAAAGTTGGAAAACCCCTGATTTACTACAAAAATATAAAATATAAGCAGCGTATACAGTACACCTATCAATATTTTGGGGTCATTCTTTTTTCTTTAAAAAAAAAATAATAATATTTGATTTACCAAAATTATTAAATTGCTCAATAGTGACAGTAAAAACATTTATATGTTACAGAAATAATGCAGTTCTTTTGAGCTTTCTATTCATCATGAATCCTGAAAAAAGTATCATGGTTTCCACAAAAAAATATTAAGCAGCATAACTGTTTAAAGGGGTGGTTGATTATTTCACTTTTCTAACTTTAGTTAGTGTGTAATCTTGCTGTTTGAGCATAAACAACATCTGCAAAGTTACGACGCTCAAAGTTCAAAGCTAAGGAAGATACTTGCGTTTTTTTAAGGACTACAACAAACGGCTGGTAGGGACGACACGACATTCCTCTTTGGAAAATCTGTTTGAATTTTTGCAATTTCATTTAGCAATGCTAGTGGCACACAAATGACACGCTTCAGCTTTAAAGCTGTCCTCTGTTCAGTTCACTCACCATTAAAGAACTTGATGATATCAGTGAAGTCCATGTTGTTGTCTAGGATAATGTCTCTGTACACCTCCACCAAAGCCAATGCAATGAACAGGACAAAGTGCTTGGAGGAGATGCGAGGGGCGACCCAGATAACCTCCCATACTGCAAACACATCCTCATAGAGAAGCTCTGACACAGACACACAAAATAAACAGCAAGTTAAACAATGAGGGTACAATATCTGAGATGGTCCTCACTGCAGAACACGAAATCCAGGGGGAGGAGTTGGATCCAGATCCAACTCCTCCCACCTTACATATACCTAAATCTACCCATCTCCGCCCCCTGATCCCTAACCCCACCCCTAATCCTACCCATCTCCACCCCTTAGATCTGGATCCAACTCCGCCCCCTGGATCTCATGTACTGCAATGAGGTGCTACTGCAATATCTTCACAGAGTTTGATAACATACAGGCTCCATTTGAGTGTCTGTGTGCCGCTACCTCTTTTAAAGTCCAGGAGGAACCAGCGATAGCAGAAGTAGAAATGGGTGTAATCTCCATTCTGATGCATGAGCTCAAACAACTCTGAGTCAAGGATCTGAAGAAAAATCATCAAGTTAAGAGCTCATAATGTCACAGATTGCATCAGAGGAACAGACAAATCACAGCGTGACTCAGGCAGGAAGAGGGAGAAAGGTCATGTGTCATGTTACCTGAATCAGTGACCTCATATTGGCGAAATGAGTGTCCATGGCTCCTCCGGTAGGGAAATTCTGACTCATCCTTTTCATCAGCTGAGTAAAACAGCTGTAGGCCAAGTACTCTTTAGAGGGGGTTAAAAAGAACAGAATATGGTTATAACAATGTTATATTTTATATATAATTTCAACCAAAAATTTTGTTTAAAAAATATAATTTGAACTTAAAATCTTATTTTCAAAGTTTAAACATTTAAGAAAATTATTATAAAATAGTATAAATAAATTATAAATATATATATATTAATGTTAAATCTTACATCACATTAGGGGTTAAAGAGAAGGGAATATAATCATAATAATAATACAAATAATCAATTTTATATATAAATTTACCTAAACTTTTAATATTGAAAAAAGATTACAATATATAATATAAAAATATTATAAAATGGTATCATATATAAAACAATGGTATTATGTTTTGTATAATTTTACTTATAAACTTTTTCTCAAAATCAAGATTTTAAAATACGCCATTCAAAAATATTACAAAATGTTATTTAATATTCTGTAAAATAATAATATTACATTTGTTGAAAAAATATATCAAATATATAAACTTTTTTTCCAGTATGCGTGTATAAGTGCAGTAAGTGGTGTGTGAAGGCTGGTGTGTCTTCAGCTGCTTCTTGAAAGTTGTGATGGCCTCAGAGTCAGCAGTCTCGAGTGGATTTCATAAAATTGCTTATATGATAAACATGATAGACAGATGTTTTACGTCATCGACATGTAAATTTATGTCTCACTCACCATCATCCAGAATGACCATCAGAGGGGCTAGAAGGTCACACATGCCTTGCACATAGCCAATCTCCAGATGTTCCCACACGTAACTGATCATAAAACAGAGACAAAGACATGAGAGACCGAGGTAGACTGAGCCTCAGTTCAGCCGATTTAGAAAATTAGTTACAGTCTATGATTTATGTTTCAATTAATCTAGCAGACTGACTGATTTGAAATTCAATGAGCTGCTATTCTGAGAGAGACACAGAGCAGATCACAGAGATAAACACTATCCTTGTCACTGTCACTGTCCTGACCTGCACATGATGTTGCGCAGTTTCTCCAGGTTGCTGGTAGTGAAGTAAAAGTAGTTGCGATCGCAGCGCTGGACATCTTTGTCTATTCTGTGCAAGTTCAGCGCCACCCTGTCCAACAGCTCAATCTGCTCATAAGCACAGCATTGGATTCAAAACAGCTTTAGATAGCTAGATCTGACCAATTGACAAGATTTATGAAATATCTATAAGGTATTATCTGCATGACATGTACCGTATAGGAGGAGAGAGATGGTGTAGAGCCCTCAGTGGTGGTTGCGAGCTTGTCCAGCTGACTGCAGAGTTTGTCCTCACTCAAAGAGTCCCGTCCACCCTGCTCCTCCAATACCCCAGTGGGTGTAGTGTCCTCCTCCATGCTCTGTCCGTCTTCGATGCTGGACATGATTTGGGAATGTCCAGAGGCTACGGAGTAGTTTCTGGAGGAGGGCAGGCCTGAGTCTGGAGAGTCAAACTCCACCAGAGGCCTCTCATCTGGGGCTAACATGGCCGGGGTGACCACAGTGGTTAAGGTGGGAGTACTTCCTCCCTCACATGAGGTGTCGTGACCGCCTGCATCAGGCTCATCCACAGACATGAATACCTAAAGAGAGAGTAGAGATGGGATGCATGGGATATGACGACGCTATATAATGCTTCTTAGAATCCTAGATGATAAATAAACATACATTTCATTCAATACTCAAACATATTGAAACAAAAACACTATTTTACCCAATATTTGTGTGTGCCACATTAATGCTTATTAGAGTACTGAACCATTACCTTAGCAACATGCTAACACCAAATGATAAATATACATTTCATTAAATACTCAAATGTATTGAAATGTATCAAAAACAAACAATTTTACCCAATATTTGTGCGTGCCACATGTTTACGCTTATTAAAAAACTTAACAGTTAGATTAGCAACATGCTAAAACTACATGATATATATAAATTTCATTCAATATTAAAAAGTATCAAAATGTGTAATCAAAAACAAACTATTTTACCTCATATTTGTGTGTGCCACACGTTTATGCTTACTGAACACTTTGCCATTAGCATGTTGATAAGCTAACTAGATTGAAATCAATTGCAAATTGAGGTGGAACGCCATTTTATTAAATGTTTACAAGTGCTGCATAGTAATACTGTCCCAAACCATTAAATTATGAAGTTATATGAGCATTAGGATGCTGCCTATGTAGGCAGCGGTTTTGAAACAGAAGGCGTGTTCCATTCGACCGTAAGTGGACTGTGAAGTGGACTGTGAAGTGGACTTCACAGGGTATTCCGCCATCTTAAGTGAGATTCTAATCTGAAGGGAGCACTGAGAACGGCATAGGGGATAAGGGAGCATCGTTACAACACTTCACAGGAAGTGGAGAGCGAAATCACTCAACTGTCATTGTGCATCGCATCACCAGCAGAGCCGTTGAAAACCAGAATTTTTAAACGGCTCTGCGATGGAGTTTACGTTTGCGTTTGAGTATTCATAAATATTTTGTTGTTATTATACAAACTAGAATATTTATGAATAGTTGGTATTTGAATAGGCGATGAATGTTACGTTTGCATATTCTATTCTATTCTATTCTATAAGTGTTGAGAAGCAGCTGAGGCGCTGTCATTTTTTATTTTACTTTATTTACCTCAGGAATGTTTACTATGCAGTGCACAAGATGATACTGTTACAATTATTAAGACCACTGATTAAGAACACATTTATACATAGTTAACCAAATCAAAATTTATTTTCATATTAAATGACAGTTACAGTACAGCTTCAAATCTGTTGAGTCAATTTTAATAGCCGTAATAGTCAATTAAATACAAGCAGTCTATGTAATAAACATGTTTTAATTATATTTATTAGATACATAATGGGTGTTTTTTTATATATATATATATATATATATATATATATATATATATTAGGGCTGTCAAATGATTAATCACGATTAATCACATCCAAAATAAAAGTTTTTTTTACATAATATATGTGGGTGCACTGTGTATAATTATTTTGTATATATATAAATACACACACATGCATGTATATTTAAGAAAAAATATTATTTATATATAAAATATTTATATTTATATATAATATAAATTATATATAAATCTATATACAGTATATACATGCAAATATTTCTTAAATATATACAAGCATGTGTGTGTATTTATATATATAAAATAATTATACACAGTGCACCCACATATATTATGTAAAAAAAACTTTTATTTTGGATGTGATTAATATACTGCGCAACCCCGTTGTTGCCTTTCTTTGATGAAGGTGTAGGGAGCTCCAAATGAGTGATTATTGTCAGCGAAGTCCATTTCCAAGGATATCCCATGGAGTAGGGAACAGTGAACACTGTGTAGGGACCCTGTCAACTGGAACGCACCTAGAGTTTATAAGTTTAATAACATTCTCTTGCTCAAACAGAGCCCGTGACTGACCTCATTGCTAATAGTGGAGTCCCTATGGATGAGCCTGAGGACGTGGCTGTCTATACTGCTCCCTGATGACAACTTAGCAAAGATGGCCGACTGCATCTCTTTCTCCCGCTGCTTCACAATGACCTCACATGCCTTCCACTCCCGCATCACCTGCTGATACCTTGCAGTGATCTTCTCATCAATCTACAAAACACACAAGGGCACATCAGACAAGACGTTTATCACATCAGTACAATTTACCCTTGTGAAAAAGAATTGTGCTTAATTGTTTTGAATGTGCACTTGTAGTGTACTTCAGATCTTAAAAGTATACAACTGTATTTTCAGATAATATAATAAAAAATAAAAGGACTTAAATGTACTTAAGTGAGTTAAGACACGTAGTCATGCAAGTATATTCTCTTTAAGTGCTACGTGTCTTAACTCACTTAAGTACATTTAAGTGCACTTTGTAATAATGGCAAATTTAAAAGCTTTACTTTAAAGTACATTTTAAATGATTGTTTTAATACATTTTAAATGATTGTTTTAATAAATTTTAAATGATTGTTTTAATAATATTTTGTCATGCTTTGAAATACACTTATGTTGACGTGTTGACTAAAGTACAATTAGTAACATACTAAAGTACATGTAAAGTACTTGATTATACTTTTAACTGTAGTGTGTTTTTCGATATTACATTTGAAGTTAATATATTTTAAATGTACTAAACTCCAACTTAATGATTACAAATGTGCAATGACATACAAGTTTCAATAGAAATTACATGAAATTATATTTTAGTTTACAATAAATGCTTGTCAGTACATTCAGCAGTACACTTTACCATACTTTAAAAACAATAAAGTAATTATGAAATTAATTATAAAGATGTACTTAAGTGAGCCAGAAGCAGCACTCTAAAAATCAACTAACTGAATGTAAACTATAATAAATTTACATTAAATTGCAATTAACAATTATTATTAAAAAATAATGCAATTAAGTGACTGAAAACATGACATCCAGCTCACACTGCATGTTTATTCTTTTGTACCCGACTCTTTTTTTAAAGGTATGCCAAAGTGTACTTCTTTTTCACAAGGGTGGTCAATAGCCATGTACACACTACAAGGTTTAGGAACTTCTTTACCTGAGCCATGTCTTTCTTGTCCATCCCGAACTTGTAGTGTCCCAGCAGAAACGGCCACACCTCCTTTCTGATCTCATGCTCCACCCCTCCATAGTAAACCAACCTCAGCAGCTCCAGCTCCTTATAATTCTGGCAAGAGAGAATACGGGACAGATGGAGACAGTGGGACTACGGCAACCTACGGTACGTGACACTGACCGCTAGTACCCTCTAGTGACTGGAGCTGAAGAGTACTAGGCTAACCTTACAATCTTTCTGATATTTACTCCACACATCTTTGCTGAGCCCTCCAGAGGCTTCACAGGGCTTGTCTGGAGGGACAATGTTGTGGTTGACCAGTGCTGAAAGGTGCGTCCTCACAGTGGACAGGTGCCGACAGTAGGCCAGCCCTACAAACGGGAAAGTGGCAAAACGAGCATTAAAGCACTTTATGCACAGCTGAGGGTTTATTATACTAATTCATATGAATAATTACACAGATTCTTTTGGACTTACAGCCATAAAACGCTCGAGACACAATCTGTCTCTTCATATTTTGGCACAGCATCTTCAGTGGAATACTAGATAGACACAGAGGGAAAATATCAATTAAATCTCTCAATACAGGAAGACTAGTCAGATGCGTTTGCAAAAATATGTGCAAGCCAAAATTGACCAGGTCTCTCTGGAAGAAGAGATAGTAATATCTCAATGTGATTCTCCTGGTTAAAATAAAGGAAAAAATACAATCTGTATTTCTGTCTTGACAACCCTCTTGAGTGTTTGGCATGGTAATGGGAATGTCAATGTTGATATGTTTGATCTTGGCGGAATTGACATGCTGCTGATGCAGAGCAAGTACAGGACTTGCAACTGCCAATACATACACGACACGCTGCTGTACAATATACAAGAATTACCTGTAGCAGATCTATACAGGTGGAGCTGGGAAAGATGTAGGGTTTCTGAAAGTGCGCTGCAATGCTAAGGCAAATGCTAACCAAGAATTCGAGCTTATTGACTACTGAAATGGCAGGAGCCAATCACCTGTACCCTATAGATAACAATGTAATTGCAAGCAGATTGAGTTAAGGACATATTAGCCTGCGCCATCTAGCGTTTCATGACAAAACTTTGTATATATTATGCACTCATTAGCATTTTTTAATCTTGGATTTTTTTGTTATTATGACCTTCATCATTTGTTTTTGCTACTTTTCAAATGCTGTTTATGTATTAATTTTATATTATCTTAAAATATGAAAATCTATTGACAACCATAACAGAGTGAAATAAACAAACAATTAAAATTTTTACTGTGTGATTTTATACCAATCTTTACACAATTTGACTGTCTGTCAGTTGTGGCATCATTCTCATTATAAAATCAACAATATTACCGCTAATATAGTTTTCACTAAGTGTCAGTAAAAATCGTGGTGCGAACTTGTAAATTCCCAGGCTGTGACCAAGGATGTGCCGGGATCAAAGTTCAGATTCCATCGTTTTCCTGTTTTGAATATAACTATGAAACAGCTTTGGCTGGTTGCCATCGGCTATACTCTGCGGGAGCTAAAATATCCAGAATAAAGGATTTTCGTGTGTGTAGTGCTCACTTCAGCGAAGACGATTACATCCCCAACCAAGGAGGAAAAGGAAAATTAAAGAGTTTTGCTGTACCAGTACCACGGGTAAGCTCTATTTACTAACTTTATGATCCCATGTCTAAACTGTACGGTAAACAAGCTGATGTTTAGACTCCATTATAAAACACGTGAAAAGATGTCTAATATAAAAACAGTATATAGGGATATTGGTACAATTTGCTGAGAAAACTATTTGATTGAACACACACACATTTGAGGTTTTGTGTTGCAATCAATAACATTGTCGTTGTGCTAAAATTACTTTCATCATCTGATCCGTCTGATATTGTGCTAAAATTGGTTTCATCATCAGAAGTTTCGCAGTCAGACATGTTGTCAGGGAGTCGCGCTATCAACAGCTGATCGGAACGTGCGCACTGTTGACGTTGACAGCAGCGCGGATTGATAGAAATGGATAGAAAATAGTGCCGATTAAAACTGAGGTATGAATTTTGACCGGCGTGTTTTTTGTGTGGTAAATTAATCAAGCTTTGAAACGCAAATCATTTTTTCACGTAAAAACGCAAAGTTTTGTGGCCCCGGAAAATAACCGGGAGTACTTTATTGAAAAACTTCCAGCGGCCAGAACTCTGACCAGGGAGGTGACAACAGAGTGGGTCAGTGTGTATGCACTATAGTGCTGGTAAGGATTGCATACAACTTCATGTCTTAAATGGGCGAACTAACCCTTTAAGATGAAAAATGAGACATGTGACGTGTGAAGAAACAAAGAAAAACCAAGAAAAATGTCACTTTATTGTGTGTCATTTCCAGAAAAATTGCAATATTATATAAAGTGTGAAAAAATTAATAAATTGCACGCATTTACATGAATTTACATGCATAAAATGCTAAACAAGACAAAGTTGTCTGCCATTTTATGTTACACAATAAATATGAAATATTAAGCTGCACAACTGTTTTCAACATTGATAATACTAAGAAATGTTTTTTTGAGCACCAAATCAGCATATTAGAATGATTTCTGAAGGATCATGTGACTATGAAGACTGAAGTAATGATGCTGAAAATTCACAGGAACAAATGACCCCCAGGGCCAGAAGTGTAAAAGGTCTCTCACTCACCGGTCATGCATGCAGGTGCAGCTCGCTGGAAGCTCGACGGAAGCGTTGCTGCCCCCAGTGGAGCAGGACAGACAAGATGACATATGACTGGGGTACTCGCCCTGCTGCCATGACAACGGGCTGCCGCCAAAACCCTGCATCTCCATCATGTCCCCGTGGTCTACATGGGCGTGGGAGCGGAACAGACAGAAAAGAGGCAGAGCAAGAGAAAGAGAGACATGAATAAGCAACCATGAAACCTGCTCTAGTAACCTGCATTTGAAGATATATTAGTATTAATACTACTAGAATCATTGAAAATAGATATTTTCTTTCCTCTCAGAGCTACTCTACAATTTGAAGCTGTTGTACGGTGGAAAGATGCCATACAGGACTTCACTTCACATCCCAGAAATTAAGCTCTTACAGCTGGAATAGAATGGCCATAAAACACCATATTCAGCTCAAAAGCCTCAAATTCACTGAATTACAGGCCTCAGCTCAACCATGAGATAATTAAGGAAGAGTTAAATGCATCCTAAACTGCATTTAAATATATCTGATTTGAATGTTTTATATACATTTTTTAAATTTTGGATGGTATTTAGATTAGGGCTGTCAATCAAATATTGATTACATGAATTTATTAAATGATATATTGATTAATGAAACAAAAATAAATGCAATTATTCACATATTCACTTCGATTGAGAAATCATCCCCTAATTCAAAATAATTCATTCAAGATATTAAATTATTGTGGCAGATGAGTAAATAGGTTTTTAAGAAACATTATAAAAAGTGTCGATATAATGTTTATTTTCATATCATTGGGCATAAGTCTTTCCGATTATATGTTGGGGCTGTTTACACAAGACTTGTTCTTGCATTATGTCTGCAGTGTTTTTTTTTTTCAACTTCGGCATACTTTATGTACAAACTCACGCCAGTAGAGTAAAGTCTCGCTGTTTTTTCAGCATCTCACGCCTTGAGCACTACGTTTTTAAGACAGTATCTCTAGTTTAAAGTAATGTAGGGTGTCTCGATAATAATATCCCTTTCTTCCCTTTATAGACAGACATATTTTGCTTTATTTGAAATATTTAACATGTTTAATTGACAGCCCCAATTTAGATGTACTTTTCTTAACAGATATTTCTTCCTGTAAGAAATGGCATTAACCAGATGTCCTTAAACACAGATAATGAAATCAAAGCAAACCTGAAGTATAAGGATATCAAAAAACATGCATCTATGAATGAACAGAAGGAAAAGGTGTAAAACGATGCGGGGATGCCATGCCAGGAGACCTGCCAATCAATCGATCAATCAATCAATCACAGTGTCACAAATCAAGCCAGGCACTGGTAGAGCTTGGAGAGGAATATAGAAGGACAGACAGTAACCATTCCTACCATGCTGGATGCATCAGATTGAACCATGACAAAAATAAAGACAAATAAAGAAGAGAAATGTATACTGTGCGTAGTTGTATAAAATGTGATAGTGAACCAACTGAACCAAAAGAGTCGATAGTAAACGTAAATGCTCTTCACCTTAATTCTTCAGGTTGGAGCTGGTGACCTGCTATACACAGTAACTTCCCTGGTTGTAACCAAAATAACAAAAGTGGACGGAGAGCACGTATTCAATATCTGTCCCTAGAAGTCTCACGTGAGCTATAGGACTTTGGTAAGGCTATGATCGAATGGGCGACGCGTTCACAGAACGATTCGTGTGTCTACTACACCAGAACCCCACAGGACCTAACTGATATAATGAAAGGTGACTGCAGTTAGTGAAGAATTACAGTGAACAGCATTGCAGAAAACCGGCTCAACACAGGAGGAACATCAAAACAACGACAACGACGACAACGACAACAACTCAAACCAAAGAGGAAAAGAGAGAATTAATAAAGGGAAGGAGACACAGTTCTGACAAGTAAGCAGTGGAGCACATTCGCTGCAAAGATAAAAAAAAAGAAAAGAAAATATAAGACACAACGTGTGCATATTCGACATGCAAAGCCCTTGAGCGTTTGGCAGTGAAACCAAATAAAGATACAGAACCCCAAAATAACCAAGACTTCTCATAAGAACTTACTCATGTCAACCAAAGAGTGCAAAAGGAAAAACAGAGCAAATCATTGGAAGCATGGCTGCCTGGCCACCACAGTCAGGCCCAACAGTGCAGAGAGGAGGAACGCGCTCAGGTGAGGAGTCTGTACTCCACAACCGCCAAAAATATACCTCCTAGGTCAGTCAGGTTGTGTGAGAAGGGAAAAGGACAAGGACAGAGTAGTAGTGTGACAACGTGGCAGAGCAGTGGAAGCTCTCCTGCGTGTGAAAAGGGTTAGAGTAGGTAACCCACGGCAACGGAGGCGCGGAGGGAAAAGAGTGAGTCAAGGGGAGAGATGTGCACTCTACTGACCTCACACACATACGTGTAAACTTTGCTTGCAAACCCAAATGTAAAAATAAGGTATATTTATCTTATATAATAATAATAATATTAATAATAATATAAAATAGATATAATAAATTCTATATATAGTAATATAATATAATATAATTCTATGAATTCATTCACATTTTTTGAATTAAATATGTTTAAACTTTGTCTACCTATAGTTATTTCAGGTTAGAACAACATACATTTTAGGTAAATAGATTTGTGATGCATAGATTGTACTTATACATTCATATTATGTAAATTAAATCAAAATCAATAATTAGAATTATTAGTAATTTTAGGTTAGAGCTATAGACATTTTAAAAATATATATACAATGAAATAAAATAGGCTTGGAGGTGAGCAGTGAAATGTTTAAATGCTTATAATACGCAACATGGGAGGTCATGACATTTAAGAGCAATTTATGATGTATTAGTCTGACCCAACACTGCCATACTATCTTACTACACACTTTCCCATCACTAGCACAGTATGATCTTGTGGTGTTTATCTACTTTTCATTTTGCTAACATCTATTTAAAGTACTACATGTAGATTTTTTGCATATTTTTTATCAATGGAATGCATGTGTGCTGCACACACTCAGGGTCTTGTGCGACTTGACCTAGCTTTTGTCCTAGCCGCAAATATTACCATGGTTACAAGCATACAGATCAGGCCAACAACGTAAAGAGTGACAAGGAAACCATGACGCCTGAGACACCTACTGTGTCTCAATCTGCTCTCACTGACCGACAACCGGCCGCACTGCTGGGTTGCTCCTTGTGGGGACCAGGTAACAGTTGGGATGGAAAGAAAAGTGGGAGGAGAGGATGTATGAAAGGAGGAAGGGAGAATGAAGTGGGCCACTGGTGATAAAAACCTTTCATGACATTAGGATCTGTGAGGTTCCGTGAGCAGATCATAGAGATCATAGCGTGAAGTCTATCTTCCTCCTCCTCGTCGTCGTCCAGAGAGGGCGCACGACTGCCCGTGGTGTGGTGGTAGTTTATAGTGACTGCTTGGGCAATAAAAGAACACAGTTTAGCACCCGCCTCTGAAGCAAAGTCACATTCCACTCACACACACTGCAAAAACATGTTTCAATCGGTACCTTTGTCTTATTTTGAAGTAAAATATCGAAACATCCTTAAAACAAGTGAAATCGCATAAGATAAGACTTTAAAAATGGTTGTCAGAGAACACATCTTGAATTGAAATGTATTTTTATAGGGTTTTTTTGCCTTGTTTTAAGCCAAATATTAAGCTTTTAAATTAAAAATCTTGTTTTATTATGGAATGTTTCAGTATTTATCATAAATGATGTATTTATGCGCGTCATTTGTTTTATTCATGCGACTCATAATCTTTAATCAAAATAACTTCCCCTCCCTCTTGAAGCAACATCTCTTCTCTTCTCTGAAGATGTGTTTACTGGCAACCTGTCACTCACATGAGATAAACCAATAGCAAACCACAACCATCCAATCAATTCCCAATAGACAAAATCAAGTCCCACTCTGATTTTTTTCTCGTTTCTTGTTATTAAAAAAAATTCAATGATTTATTTGATGGAATTTAATATACTGTATGTTCTCTGCAAACAAATCTTAATAACTTTTCGAGCTTCTCGAGTAAATGGATCTTGATGCTTCGATATTTTAACTGGAAAACAAGACAAAAACACTGACATGAAAAATTCTTTTTTTGCAGTGCAAACATACATAGATATAAAAAGGAGCAGTGTCATCCCAAGAACAGTTGAAAATCTAAAGGCTGCGTTGAATACCCACGTCCCTCCCAGCAGCCTCCACAACGGCTGTTATGTTCCAGAAAAAAGTGAGAACAAAACACGCAGACAACAATGATATGCGGGGATGGTGTCTGATACAGCCCTCTTCAGTGTTCACACATCCAGGAAATCAGGTCTGGCTGAACAGGATGCGTGAGTACTTAAAAGGCTTAAGTTTGATTATAATGCAAAAAGATTCATGCATTTTTATGCATGGCTTTTAAGTGTTTAATGCTTTTGGGGTCACTGTAGTTGGATGTACAAACAGATGTGAACAGGTCAGGCACATTTTGGCTGAAACTCACTTGAGTCGTGACGGTGCCCTGGATAAACGATGCGAAACACATAGTCTGCGGCGATTTGCTCCTCTCCATCCACGTCTTGATCTACTAAACGGGCCGTGCTGTTCTTCTTACGAAGCTTAGGGAAGACTTTGCCCTGTTAAGCAAACACACAGAGCCGTATTCAAACTAAACTCAGGTTCCAAATAAAGATCGTAGAAAAAATGTGCAATGCGTCAACAAGCAAAAAGCTAGAATTCAGAAAAAGGCAGTGAGGGTGTAAGGCCGTCTAATTCGATCCAATGGTGGTATTCGATTAGAGGTAAAGGTCTCACGCGTGTTCCGTCTTTTCTCATGGCAAAGGGATTTTTAATTAAATGCAATACATTTTATCTTATGTATTAACTCGTTATTTCATCTGACTCCATAAATGAAAAGGTTTTTCAATGATATCTGTGCATCATTAAATCTACGTGAATGTTTGACTATTCCTTTTAACTCTAATGAAAATAAAGTCAAAGTCTGTTAGAATAATTAAAAATATAACAATTTATTATGTCAGGTAAATGTATTATTACAATTTTATAATCAATTGAAAGATAATCAATGCAAACCATCAAATGTTCTAGAACAAAGAGGAAAATCTTTTACCCGACATTATGAAATACATGAATACATCTCGGCGACTCAGCATTCACGGGCTGATCTGAGATACAGAAAAGGCCCTGATCCTTCCGCTGCATTTCATTATATAGCCAGACCTCATTTCATAATATGTAAACATGAGTTCACAGTGGAAATTAACTGTGTTCACCCCCCCAGACTTACTGGGGGCAGAAGTTGATTTACATGGTACCATTTGCTAACAGTGGGAATTAGCATTGAGTTCACACCTTCTGAGAGCAGGAGGGTTTACCCATCCACCCTCCTTTGTGTTTATGTTATCTAAAAACTCTTAAAAACCTTATTACCTTTTGTTTTACTTATTTGGAAATAGGGCACTTGTACCAGTCGCACTTGTAGACATTTCAAATAATACTAAACACATGTATAAAACTGTATGATAGTTGTTCAAATTAAAACCATATAGATTCTTATGTGAGTTTGGGTGATCTCTGCAAGAGTGGGGGATGCGGGGAAGAAGTGGGTGTGTGAGAGTTCAAATGTTAATTTGCCAAGGTCCTTCGTCTCATAGACCAGTGGTCAGGTCTATCTCTTCAACCAGTTTTTTCCAGTCTTACAAGGGGATCAACAGTAGATCACTGGCAATGAGAATGAATGAGTGTGGAAGGATCAAATGCTGCTGCAGTAAAACGCTCACCTTACCCCTCTGGGACCAGAGGGGGGGCTCCAGCTGACCCCGGGGCAGTAGACCCGTCTCCAAACAGGACAGGAACGACAGCAGGTGGCCCCCAGGAGGGAAGTGCAGAGGAGGACGCTGGATCCCATCCTGACTTACTAACACCAGAGTACCACCACAGTCGGCTAAGAGAAATTCACATGAATAATTTTTTTTTAGAATATAATATAATATAATACACCAGCAACCCTACATAGCACAAGCGGTTTAAAAAATGTATAAAAATATAATATAATTTAATAATCATTGATATAATGCAAATTAAATCGATAATTGTTACTGAAAAAATATGTGCTATATTGAAGCTGACAATCTGTCAAATGTTAAATATTTATAATATAATATAATATAATATAATATAATATAATACAGTATAATAATATGCCAAAGGTGTAGGAAGGGGACTCACGGCGCTGGTGACAATGAATGCAGACGATCTGTCTTAAAGGCACAGTCAAAGCGTAGTCCCAATAAATACTAAAGTGGGATAGAGGTTGATTAAAAAAAAAAAAGAAACAGAGAGAAAGAGGCAGAGAGTGAAAATTCTCCCGTTCTTTTAAAATAGATCAGAATCTAAATAGTATTTTTCATAAAATATTGTTGCTTTGCTAATCTCATTTCCTGATACTACACATTCATATGTCTATTTCTTCTTCACAAACATATCAACCTTATCATTACAAACCAGCAATCAGCATATCAGGACAATCATCTTATGCTTTTCCTGTAAATCCTCCGTAAAAGTAATTTCTCTGCCCGACCTAAAAATCTCAGACCAATCAAATCAGTTTCTACCGAGTAGGGGCAAAATTATATGCAGTGATTGGCAATCTCAAATAATTTCAAGCTCTTGTGGCCCGTTTTACCTCATGACATAATTTCCCTGATTTCCCCCTGTGTGTGTGTGTGTGTGTGTGTGTGTGTATACAGTATATTTGACCTCTTCTCCAGGTCACAGTCTCCCAGAGTGCCATTGATCAGCTGATTGGGCGTCCACTTCAGCGTCAGTGTTTCTGCCGTCTGATGAAGGGACAGGTAACCACGCAGCACCTCCATGTCCTTCTTCTGCAAAGAACAAAGTCTATTCAATAAAACACAGCGGCTTCCCCGATCCCTCTTACAGGAAGTCTAAAAATAACTCGTAAAATCAGCAGCTTTACACATTTTTCTCTGTTTACAGGTTAACAAGAAAATGAGAAAAAAAGGTGTGAGCTCACAGAATGAAAGAAAAGAGAGTGAAATAAGCAACAGAGTGACATAAATAAAATGTCTCTGACGATTTACTGTGATGATGAGAACTGCGAAACGCATCAGGTTTCACACAGAAATCCAATTAGACCTGAATCACTGCAATCCTTTTGGCAAGGGACGTTTACACTATTGATTTCTACAAGTCCTCGCCAGACCCAGCACTCTCTGTGCCCAGTTACATCAGTCACTGTTGCAAATCTCACAGACACACTCATGCACACATCCAGTCTTTGCCTGACTCATTTGATGACAAATCTAATGTGGTGTAATGGCTAATCCAGTCTGCCTTTTCCAGTTCACAACTATCAGCCAGGAAGTTAGCAGAGCTAAAAATGCCAGGGATAAATGGAGCCGGATCCATCTGACCATTCATTACACAAGGGAAGAACAGATTTTGACCAGTAGATCAATGATCTTTTCTAACTACAGTACACCACTGTGGCTCACTTCCTATAACCAGACGTCTTTTAGCTCCACTCTATTGATTAGATGAGACACTGATCTACAATCAATCCGTTTTGTTACAACCATCAAAAGAAATGTAGATGCAAATTTAACTGGTTTTCTTGTTAGTGCATTTGTGTACGTGTGTGTGTGTGTGTTCCGTCTTACCGGTTGAACGAGTACATTGTTCTTTCCGTAGAGCAAGTGAACGCGTGAGTTTTGGTGCAGGGATTCGACATACTCTCTCGCCGAGGCTGCAAACTTATCCTCAGACATGCTTCCTGAGGACTGACGCTTTCGGATCTGAGGAAAGTACCATGAATATGAGATATTTATGCAGTTTACTCTTATATTGAACTACTAAAACAAAAACATACTGAACAATCACCCCATATATGTATGATATTCTCACCCCAAGTGCAGGCCTGCGTCCCGGCGACACCTCCTGGCCTCTGTGGGCCCCGTGGATGCGATGCCTCTGGACCAGCTCATTGGCCGACGGGTCCGTCCAGAAATGATCTGACGTCTTAAGCTTACTGTACTCCAGAGCGCAAGGCCCAACTATAGATGAAAAAATATTGATTTCACACAAAACAAATCGTAATGTGATACAACAGTGAATCATAATAAAATTATGAAAATGCTGACAACATTTTAATGCTTTAATATTTTATATATCTTTTCAATTAACAACTTTAACAAAACTCACCCAGCAGTGCCGCCAGTATAGGGCCGAACACAGAGTCGTGTATGAGGGCCTCCCTTTCATAATACTTACTACAAACACACACCAACAGCAAACACACACAATGTGTATGTCAATAACCAGTGACCTCTTTCAAAAGCTGAACAAATAACCCATTATCATTTCATGAGCTCCATATGGCAGTCCAAACAATCACTATATGGACAAAAAAGAAATGTCTAGCCTTAATCTTAACAAATAATAATATGAATAAGAAAGAGGAACAATGCATTACATCCACTAATATTTACAAAAATAATAATTGGCATGCACGGATATTAAAACTCTGGCTGATATCAATAAGCTGATAATTATATTAATGTTATGGTCAATAACCGTGGGCACGATCTACTAATTAGTTCTCTCGTTTTAGTTAAATCGTAACCACGAATTAAGAATTTGTTCCTATGACTTAATAATTGGCCACGTGGTCCTAATTCGTTCTCTTGTTTTGATTTTACTAAAACAAGGGACCAAATTATTACAACATGGCCACATTTTAGTAAAACAAGGGAACAATCACACTTTAAAACAATCACACTTTAGATTAGGGTCCAATTCTCACAATTTAACTAGCTATTAATAATGACTCTGCATCAGTAAATTCCTAATTACTGCTTATTAATAGTTAGTTAGTTAATAGTTAATAAGGCAATTGTTAAGTTTAGTTATTGTGAAGGATTAAGGGATATAGAATATGGTCAAGCAGAATAAGGCATTAATATGTGCTTTAGAAGAACTAATAAACAGCCAATATCCTAATATATTGCATGCTAATAAGCAACTAGTTAATAGTGAGAATTGGACCCTAAACCAAAGTGTTACCACAAATTATTATGTCATGTGCACAATTTACTTAAAACAAGGGAATAAATTAGTAAAAGTGCTGACGTATTAGTAAGTCATGGGAACGAATTGTTAATTCGTGGCCAGAATATGCAAAAAAAATTCCCTGCATGTCATGTGTGGGGCTCCGTAATATACTGGATACCGACCAGAGAATATTCTGTCTCGCTGAATTCAGAACCGCATACTATTCGTACTATTTAGAACCATTTCTTTCTATGGCAGGGATATTTAGGCAGGACAGATTATCAGCTATTTAAAATCAGAACAAATGAAGACAGATTCGTAAATAAATTTGTTCTAATCGATCAAACAGGTTTGCAAAAAGGTCTGTTTGATTTATTTGGACTGTTCACTAATGCACAGAGTTGTTTGCAGCGGTTTCTCAAACTGAAAAAGTAACAGGATATTTTAAAAGAAAACCAAAAGAGCACTGGATGAGGTAGATATTTACATACAATCCGTTGTACTGTAGGAAACAAAACCATGACTTCTATATTTTGTAAATGATGAAGCAGCTGTTATGCGACTCTGTACTATAGGTAAAGACAAATTATATCCAAAACGGTATAAAAAAAAGAGTATCAAAATATAGGCACACTTTTTTTGATGGAGGGCCTATGCCCCAAGACTGATTAAAAGATAAAAAGCCCCTGATCACAATATTATAATATACAGTACAAAAAAATAGATATTCAATTTGAATCCCCAAAAAATTAAGTATAATAAGCTGAATTTAAATACAGACAGTACTGATGCTAATTATTACCTTGCGTTATCCACAATATACTGCACAACTTTGTCCAGGACTTTCTCGAAGAGGGCCGTGCGGACCCATATGTGCTTGATGGCCTGTGCGGAGAGTGGCTGAGGTGCTCGTCCGGCAGAGGAGCCCTGCCTCCTGAGGGCCTCCTGTCCTGTGCTCTGAGTCCTCCTGTGAGAAAGACGAGCAAACACATTCACACACAAGATCAAAAGTGAATATGACAAAAATGCTCACTTAACATAAGAACGTAGATAAAGTCAAGTCTGATGTGACCAAATTACCGGTAAACAATAGCATTGATTTGCACACATTTTTGCACACCGATTTGCAATTTTTCTTGGACATTCTCCCAAAACATTATATGAATTTAAGACAAAAGTCTGAAAAAAAGTTACAAACACTTGTCATGACCTTCACTCATTTTGTGCTTCTGTTTATACTCATATAACCTTCTAAAAACCCCTTACATTGTCTGGTCTTAGGAACGAAGCAAGAGACATATAAGGGATCATGACTGAGCCTGTCAGGAGGTGTTTCTAAGTGTTTGTGCGTCTGTATTCTTCTCCATACAGCATCTCAAAAGGATGACCTGGCTGCTCATCTACAACAGAGCAGGAGGGCCGGCGGCAGTCACAAAGCCCACTCGAACCCGCCAGACCATTCAGCCAATGAAGACACAGACACACACACATTTACACAATGACAGGGGCAGAGCATGTGTCATCCCAAAAGACGTATTAAAAAAGATCAATCTCACAGATAAAAGACTGAGTAACATGAGAGCCGGAACATCTAAGATTAGAGTTATTGCATAATCTGTCATGCAGACCACTCAACCCATCAAAAACAGTATTTCCTCTTATTCCTGAAAAGTATTTTTGGCCCAAATCCCTGCAATAATAACTACTAGCCTATTCAAAAAGTTGGGGTCAGTAAGATTTTTTTTTTTTTTTTTTTAAAGAAATTCATATTTTATTCAGCAAGGACGTATTGAATTGACCTAAAGTGACATTAAATGCATTTCTGTCATGACAACTCTCCGAGGAGAGTTTGCTATGGTAATGAATATGACCATGTTAATGTGTTTGGTCAATACTACTGTTGTTATTGCTGCTGCTGTTGATTATAGCTGTTGCATGCAGAGCAAGTACGGGACTTGCCACTGCCAATACATACATGACACGCTATTGTGAGCAAGTAAGACATGCTGCTGCTGATACAGCGGGAACCAATCAGCTGTTCCCCATAGAGAATGATGTGATTGCAAACAGATTGGGTCAAGGACCTATCAGCCGGTGACATATAGAGTAATGCCAGGACTTTGTATTTATAATGTTACAAAGGATTTCTATCAATAAAACTAACAATAAAATAATAACATTGAATTGATAATAAGAAATATTTCTTGAGCAGCAAATCAGCATATTAGAATGATTTCTGAAGGATCATGTGACACTGAAGACGTAATGATGCTGAAAATTCAGCTTAGCATCATAGCAATAAATTATATTTTAAAATATATTCAAATAGAAAAGAGTTATTTTAAATTGTAATAATATTTCACAATATTTCTTTGTTTACTGTATTTTTGAACAAATAAAAACAGCTTTGGTGAGCATAAAAAGTCTCTCTGATAAAATGAAATAAATCTTACCAACTCCAAAATTTGAATGCTACTGTATGTTTTGGCTGAGATTACATCACAGTATTCAGTAAGCACTGTTAGTTTTCACTAAGAACCAAACACCAGCTCTAGGGTGACAGAGAGTCGTTGCTGCACCTGGAGAAAATAAAGAAATCACAGAAGATAAAAAACAAACAAAAAAAACATCTTGCTTTAGGGCACTGTCAAGTTAGAGCAGAAAGCTAAGATTGAATAGAGCTGTTCAGGAACAATAAAAGAGAAAAATGAGGAAAATCCCTAGTGGAGATCACCATGTTTGAGGAAGAGTAAAAATATTTTGGAACACAAAAGAAAATATTTTGTCTTCTATTTATATATATATATATATATATATATATATATATATTTTATTGCTGTTTTTGAACCCCATAGACTTTCATTGAATAGAGAAAAGCAGTTCTTCAATAATTGTTTTATGTTTAACGAAAAGGCAGAAAATCATACAAGTTTTGTATCAACATGATGGTGAGTAAAAGAATAATTTTAGGGTGAACTATCACTTCATCACTTAAACTATCGCTAAATAACCAGGAATATTCCTTTAAGACAGGTTCTGTGACTAAGCCAGCCATTCTGAGATCCGTTCGGAGGCTGTGGAGAGCTGGGAAGACTGCTGTAATGTTGAGGGAGTCCATCATGGGGTGTAAGCCAATAACACCCCGCAGCCATCAATCTCCCTCCAGCCCGGACATCACACTACACCACAGCTGCAGGCACACCAGAGATGGATGAGTCTGCTGTCTATGCAACAGCGCCCTCATCTTCTCTGATTTACATAAGCATTGATCCCATAATGGCCTGCCACTTACACTGTATGTGTGAGTGTTGGCCACAGCGGTGGACATTCAGTATAAACAAGCAAATAAATCCATGTGATGAAACTGTGCAGCGTTTCTGATCCAACAAAAGCAATCATGCAGAGCGTCTAGAGCAGCTTCTAGAGCAGGCTATTAATAAAGTGAATCCATATCGAATCCACAAATTGCACATATTTTTGTATAACGTCAGCTAAACTGTATATTTAACCATTGTTCATGCCAACATGTATTTCATATCACTCTTGCACCTTTCTGATAGATGACTACAAGCTCATGAGTCTCCATTTATAAAGCAAGAAAACAAACACATAGTTCAGAAAAACAACAAACTTGTAAGAGACACACAGATATGTTAGCTAAAGAAAAAGAAAACAATTGAAAAATTAACTTAAATTGCAAACTAATATTGTTGCAGTGTTTGTCTTGTTGCTTGGCCGATTAGCTTTAAGCTAATTGACATATAATATCCATGTATTTAATAGGGATGAGCAACAAATCAACTAGTATTTTATATATAGAATAAACATATGATTCTATAATGTAAGCTTTTTTATTTCCAATTTGGAGATCTCCAGGCTGCAGCCATACCCGTATCCCCGTTGTACAGCAAATCTATTTGTCCTTTATGTCAAAAGTTGCGCAAACATTTGGAGTATTTCAGAAATATAATGGGAATATAATGAAATATAACAGTTAACTGTCGGGAATTTGTTGTCGTGCCACATCCAGTGTAGACAGCATCATTGATTATTATGGGTTCTTTTTGTCTTTGTTGCGTCACGACATTTGTGTCACATCTAGACATGTTGTTTTGATAGTTGTGATGTTTAAAGGGCATATTGCAGGTTAGAGGACCCAACGAGTCAATGTATAGAAAAATAATGTAGGAACTAGATTTTCTTTAAAATGTACTTATAAATACGCTACAGAAGCTTCAGGAGTCGTTTTTGTGAGAAAATTTTACTTCTGCATCTAAAAATGACGTAACAGGTGGGAGAGCGGTCGATTCAAACAACAGGAAAACAATGGATCGCAATGACATTTCGGACGCTGAGGAAATACCTACTTGTATGATGGACCACAGCCATACAATTATGAGCCTGCTATGCTGCCAAGAGAGCAGGGACAGGCTAATGTTAGACAGAACGGTCAGAGACAAATTGAGTTGTGGTGTGAGGAGAACCAGTGGAGAACAGGGCAGGTGTCTTGGTGAGAGAGACCAGTGTTAGTTTATAGATATATACACGTTAACGATATGCACTGTGCTCACAATATTGTACAGATTATTACCATCGTATATCAGGCCAGCAGACATGAGTATGTTTAGGGTATATATACTATTAAATGTATAAAAACTATACTTGAGTATATTTGTATTGTACTAAAAACATACTCAAGTAAATTTTTAATACATATTTTTCACCTGGGTTATAACATAAACAGAAAATTAAAGATTTGAATATTTAAACAATCTGAGTAATTTTGTTTTTCAATTACAAGTTGCCTCTATTTAGGGCATGACTACCTATATCACACTATTTGATGCCATTGGTACAGTATATAAGACGATCAATATTCTTCCTTCGGCATCCCATGTTGAACTCCATCATATCGCCGGGATGATAATCCTGCGATCTGAAGGGTAACGCTACACACGACCGCGTTTTTCGAAGCCGATTTTCGAAGCCGCGTTTCTCTTTACCTGCACAAACCGCACCAGGCACGAAAGATGTATAGCACCATCCTTTTTCTTGTTATGGAAACGATGTCCTGACAGGCCGGAGTTTTTGCAACCTCCACAAACACAATAATTTACCATGACGATGATAAATTAAAATACAAAAACTACCTGAAACACACTGATTTACGGCCGCTCTCACTGAATACCAGCCTACTCTGCACTGAGCCGAGGCTGAGGCTCCCTGGCGTGACGTAAAATGACGCGATGTTGAAAAAAAAGCCGTTTTTACGAGCAGTCAAAGAAACGCTCACTTAATCTACTAAATTAGTGCCCTTATGTCGTTTTAAAACATTTTAAATCCTCCATTAACTTTTCATAAGGTATTTTCATACAAGGTTATATAATAATTTAGATTTTTTTTTTTACCTGCAATATGCTCTAAAGTAGATTCATCGCCTGGTTTCCGTTTACCTGGCACTGGCAGTCCTTTTACAAACTTGTCCATGCAGAACCATGCATCATTCTTTTATATTTTTACACGGCTTCTTGCAATAATCAATTCTGATTCTTCACATGTACCAGTCTGCTATTCCATGATAGCAACTGAATCAGACCACTCAAACTGGTATTGTAAGCCATCTTGAGGTAATAAATTCAGGTGAGGTGTTCAATTATTTACTTATGTGGCAAGTAGCCACAAAATAAGCGGGATCATTTCGCAGTGGGGTCTTGTATCACCCTGAGGAGGTTTCTTTTATATAACAATCTGCTGACTGTACACTATCCCTTAGCCTTGCCATGCCTCCTTTTTATAACTCTGGCACCCCCTCCCCCAGGGGTCTACCCCCCACTGAAGTACAAATGTGTTTAGAGTGCAATATAAGAAATTAATGACATGCAGTTGCTTTATTAGATCTGAGCTTGAGCCCTGAATCGCTGCGGTAGAGGTATTCAATAACCACCGAGCATCTTGTTGCTCTAGCAA